ATTGCTTTTGAGCAAACTAAGGGAAAGTAGATTAAATTCTGCCTCATATTGATACTCTTCGCATACACATACCCAACACCACTATCCTATTGTCCATTGTCCTCCTTTGACCGTGTATTTTTGATTTCATCCCCTAATTGATCTGTGCATATGACTGTTCTCCACGCGTTTACACATACGCACGGGCTATTAGTATGTTTGTTCTATTACTTTGTCCTCTGTCGGTCTCAGTCATCTCCTCGACCCGTACCCATGATCGACTGACTCTGACGCCTGTGTACGCACGCACACACACACACACACACACACACACACACCTACACCGATTTACCGCACTGTCCTGTCACGGCGGGCCCCAATGACCAACATTACACCAACTGTGTCACTTCCCACCATTGACCGCCACAGATTCATGTGATCTTGTTCGATTTCGTTCGGTGTATTCGTTCTATTGTCATCGCTTGCTTCATTTTCAAACGTACTTTCAAATTTCAATGTGCAGCACTGAAGTGATCCAGTGGAACCTGATCTTCTGTTGTGGAATTGACCACGCATAAAATGTCATCTACATACTTTTATGCAGTGCCCATTGTTCAATATGTGATTTCAACGAATCACTTTCTGTTTTATACATGGAAACATCAGCGAACAAGGGTCCAGGCGGGAACCCCATTGCTACACCGTTGTTTTGGCGATAGATTTCCACATTGAATTTGAATTGCACATTGTGAAGGTGAGAGTGAGGAGGATTATCAATGGTTTTAGGTTATCTGTCTGTAGGCCTACATCAATCCATTTGCTATCGACGTAATCGGGTAAATAATCAATTATTCGCATTTTTTGCCATTCAAACTAACTTGTCTAAAACCGCAGTGTGTGAGTGATATTGCTATCTTAGCATTTCATTCATACTGAGGGACTCGGAAAAGGGCAGAAATCCAGTAACTTCGGTGCGATAAGTCAAAGAAACCATGGGTGTGTAGACTGAAGTTGATTGACCATGAATCGGTACGTTTCAGTGAACTGGGGTCAATGAAAATAAATCGTGTGGTTCTCAAACCTCCACAATCGCATTTTTTTATTAAATAATAATAACAACGTAAACAATTTTCAGGAAGGAGGATGGGGCTACTCAAAGGATAGCGGTTAGATTTTAACCCACGTCCCCTCATCTGGGGCGATAAGTTAGTGGGTACAATTATTGCTTGTTTATTCAAATTCGTTCACTCTGAAGTTCTAAAATACCTTGTTTTGTAGTTCGGATTGCAACAATTGGTGTGGTTCTTGCGTCCCTCATACTAGCGATAGTCATTATTATTCATTCAGCTGTGGAAAGCTGTTACAATACAGCAAGCAGTACACAATGCTTTTCTCAGCTTTTTTTTTCGCTCATCACTTTGCGACAATGCCAAATTCTGTTGCCTTCACCGGTTAGTGTCCAAGGAGATATCAGACCAGAAAGCCTAAATCTCGCAATAACACATTAGGTACATTTGTAACGTGTCCAAACCCTGAATCATTGATTTGACGCACGTGATAATAGTATCATCCATGGAAGTGCAAGATTTTAGAGCATGTGGTATTTGCTGAAAGCAAAACTCTACAGTACCCATATACCACGAGAAGGTAGGCCGATATGGTCTACAGAACCTGTCACTAAGATCCGCTAGAGGTTGTTATCTTCGGTCATGAAAAAGAACAGTTTTGCAGTGCGTGACTCTGAATGCTGCATTGAAAATCCAAGTCTGTCTGTCTGTCTGTCTGTCTGTCTGTCTGTCTGTCTGTCTGTTATGCCAGTACAAAAGTTCAAGTACATCAAACCTACCAGTGTTTTCTCCATGCTATCATCGCTATCTTCCAGACAAAAACTGAGCAACATGGACAGCAGGAGAAGAATTGCAGCCAATTCCACGAATATCAAAGCTGCCCAAAGAAGATTGTACGAATGTGCATATGCGATATCCGTATTCTGACGTATAACCTGGAAGTTAGGAAGTCATATTTAAATACAAATGAATAGAAATGATGGAGAAACTTGTGTGGAGACCAAATTGTATTCCATGTCATGAAATTGAGATACAAAACAACTGACTGCGAGCAGCTGCTTTGGTTGCCGCGAGATAACAGCATAAGCACCATCATCCAACAGCAAAATGTTGAAAGGATACTTCACCATCAATGTTTACAATGTAAAAATGATTATGGAAGCAGGACACAGAATGTGCCTGCTGCCACGAGGAAACTTGACGTAAATCGTCGTGTTCAGTTGAATAGTGATGGTTTACAGACATCTTTTGAAAGCCGTGGTAAATCGTATTTTGTGGTTGACTACTTTGATTCTTTTAAGTAGACAGTTTTGTGCGTACAGGCTCTCATGGTCAGTCGAGTGTAGATGAAATGCATTGCGGTTATTGTCATCGGAGTGTTAGAGAAATTTAGCATAAATTAGGAAAATGATGTTAATGGACATATCCCTATCTAATTAAATGTTCCCAAGTTTACAAAGAGTTCATTTGAATTAGTAGCATAAGCAAAGCTGCTTATATGGAATGGCCAAAAGGTTACTTGACCTCTTTGGAACGACCGGGCCATCAAGCACGTAACGGTAAACACATCGTCACTACCGAGGATTCATTACTATGTCTACAAATGTCTCCATGTAACTCACTATATTCTGGACAAGCAGTGCATGCACTAATCCGAGCGGTGTTAGAAGGTTTAAAATGTATCGTTTGATAGTAGTTTCATTCTTTCCGTTTCTACATTAGGGCACAGAAGAGTGAAAAACGTTACACTCGAGTAGGTTCGCCGGCTGAATTCACCATCAAATTCACAGCACCATTTTGAATGTAAAAACGCAGCAGAAACCTGACCTTGTCTCACGCCAAAGCCTCCCACAGTCCAATGGTTTGAATGCTTTGTTGCCAGGTACAAGTTCCCCCTTAGCTAATAACCTAATGTTTTTCGGTCAAAAGATAGTCGATCCCTGTCCCGTATTTCAACCTCATCTGTAACTATTTGATTTGAGCGAAATATTTGCTCGCGATCGATTCTATGTCCTACAACTCTTTTGTGGTCGTTTGAACATATACTTTACTATACTGTACTGTACTGTACTGTACTGTACTGTACTGTACTGTACTGTAGCAATGGCAAACTAGCTAAGTTTTCATCCCAGGTGACACAAGAAGCATTTATTTCACTCAGCGCATCTGAGATCCTTTGGTTGGTGAGCATGGTACAGGTAAAATCAGCTTCACGATGCAACGATCACTTCAGTCTCATTATACTCATGAACCCATTTATTCTGCAGAGCATCAATACATTTCTCAACCGGCTTCTTGTTGCTCTGTTGATCTGTTCAAGTGACTCACCAATGGCCAACTGGTAAATATGTACGGCATATTTTTGGAGTAGGTGACTTTCTCACGCACGTATTCCAAATGTAAGAAAAACAAGCCCATCTTGTACATAAAGCCTGAAATCAGACGGAGAGAGAGAGCAAATTGTGGTATGAATGGGTTCACATGGTTCGCATGGGATCTGTCATGTTAAAGTGCCTTCATTTATAGAAATTTCATTGCAGACGAGTTCATACAATGCAACTGGATACGTTTGTTTACTTCTGATGTTTCATTGATCAGATAACTCGCAGTCTTATTTGTTTTCAGACTCTATTATGTCAGAGAGTATTTTCTGTAATTCACATTCATGTCACCAGATTTCACAACAGCCATGAAGCCAATCGATTTTTTTTCGATTTTTCAACACCAGTTCGTAGCTTCTACCTACAGAAGTCTTTTCACTTATTGAATAAACAGATACGGCCAATATTCCGTCGGTTAACTAGGGAACTTCAAAGATATTTTCTATGAAAAGCGGTTAGAGAATATGGGTTCAGCTTAAGCGTTCGAACCCGTTTTTGTATAGCTTGTGCGGAGAAATAAGAAGAGTCATTTGGTTCGTTTTGTAAAGGTGGAATCTCCCGTGACGGCAAAACTTCATATTGGTGTGCTGGAAGATGGAACAGTTTTGAATGAGACATTGATTATCACTTCATCATTTCAAGGCAATTGTTCAGTGTCGATCTGATTTGGATTGTGGGTTGTCTGTGAAAACTCAAACGAGAGAATGGAAATTCGGAATCGGTGAATTCCGGCACAGGGATTCATGAACGTTACTCTCTCTCTCTCTTTGTGTGTGTATGCGAGCCACGTAACTTAGAGCCTGGTAGACTTCAGTTATGAAACCGGAGTTAGTCAACCAAACCTGTTGTACCGGTTTCGTTTTCTTTTTTTTGTAGTTCTTAAACTATCTATAAAAATTTCCCTACTGGCAGCCGGATTGGTTGGTTGTTTTTCGGCATGCATGTAAAACAATGGTCTGCCAGTCCTAGTGCTGCACTTCGGAATGTTCCATCAATTCAATTTTTAGGTGGGCGAATAAGAAGTTGTGTAAATGGTGGCGCAATATCCACATACGGTACAGGGAAATGATGTGCAATGATTGTTCTTCGGGATGAGAATCTTGGTGTAGGTGTGTTCTCCGAGCTGCAAGTGTGTTGGTCGTAGATGTTTCTTAGCTAGGCCAGGTAACATCATCAGTGTGACTGATGATGTAGTATAGCCTGGCTACGAAATGTCTGAGACCAACACACTTCTATTATGCAGAACACACTAACATCAATAACATGCAGCACTATACAGCTGTTTCATGGGTACCGGTGGATATCCACAACTCACCCACTCACCCATTGAGTAGTTCAACGTTATCTCCCCACAGTCAGAGTGGATCGTTACTGGGAAGATGTGTGGCTAGGAATCAAGCTCTCCCCCTCTCTTCGTGACGGCAGTCAACTTCCGAATACCGAAACAGTGTTAGATAACATTTTGTGTATTGTTGACATGAAATCAGTCATCAGAGCCAGACCTCGTAAACTAGACCATTATTCTGTCGAATAATCGTGATCAAGTCCCTCAAAGGGTAAGTAAACCAACTGTGTTTCTCAGATCCTTTTTCCGATGGCCCACTTGTTTTCGGCTTGTTTACAATCACATGCATTCAGCATGCCAATATCGTGGAAAAATGTCCAAACAATCCATAATTTGGCAAATCATTCAAGCACTTATCAATGTGAAAATAAAAATGTCTTTCCCCTCATCAGAACCCGCCAGCATTTTACCACTCGAATAAGGCACAACTAGATGAAACGTGTATACTGCCTCAGTCACAGAAAGACTGCTCAAATTGGAACACATGAGGAACCATGCTTGAATTCGGCGCTTCGCAGACACGCGACTATATGAGTCACACAAACGAGTATTCCTGCATGATACTCCAATCAAAGAAAAGTCATTAGTGATTGATCAGAGAGAAACTTCCCGTCAGTGCGATCAGAACAATTTTGTTTGATTCAATTATCCATTTCGGTTATTCTTGAAGGAATGGGGTGGATGCTATCCCAAACCCGTTCCACTACCTAACCCCTTCACAGTTACCGCAAAAATACCCTCACATTGGCTCAGAAATAGCTATCAAGACAAAATTACGTATAACGCTATGGTGCTAACTATTTGTACAAAAGCTATTCGCGTACTTGTCCTATTCTGATATTCTTCAAAAGCTTTAGAGGAATGAGATAGAGGCACGAGTCAAACTGTATCGATCAATGATTGACTCCATCGGTGAACTGCAGTTTTACAAAATGATCGCAAGTGATTCTACTTTTTCGGATTTTCTCATTTTATCCTAATAATTTCACCCGAATAGGACAAACAGCAATGGTAGTGGGACGCGATGGATTGATGCGCGTGACTTACCGGACAGCATTAGAATGAATGCCACGCTCAGTCGTTCGTAACCGTGATACTCAGCCAAGGTGATTGTGCGTAACCAGAAGCGTATAAAGTAAAGCATCAGTGCCAGACCGACGAAGGCCAGAAATACAGCGACCAAAGTAGCAGCCACTGAGCTTCGAAGCCATTCTGTGGGAAAGCAATACAGGACACATACAATCAGTATACCACGATGATGGTGTCGTGTACCAACGGGAACACACAACTCCTGTTTACTTTGGCATAAATAGGTTTGTTTCTAGTAGATAAGCAGTGTCCGCATGTCGGGAAGGGTTGTCTTAGAGGAAAAATTATAATTCATAGGAGGTTAAATTTAAACGATCAGATTTGTTTGTTTTACTTACATAATCTCCACTAATTGTTCTGCTGAGACCAATGTCTTTTTAACGAATTGTGTGTTGTAATTTAGTGCAAATTCACGTTTTGAAATTATACATAATCGTTTGATTAACACCGGACTAGGTAGGCGAACTACCTAGTCACGAGGAGTTGCTGTTCAATTATGGTATTGGACAATCTGGAACGAGCTGCACAATCGGATGCTCATACACCATCCAGCCGGAAAGGAGAAAATGGGCATACGATCAAAGTTGGATGTCGGTGCTGGCAAGGTTTCATCCTGGTAGCCTTGGTACCCGAAATAATTAACAATTCATGAACTATTTAAAGGGTGGAGAAAAGTCATTCGTCCAACAGGTGACACTAACTAAACATACATTTGATAAAAGACAGGTTTCTTATTATTGAATAATCATACCTAGTCATCACTGTGTTTACAATCTATCCCCGATGAGATTCTGGACAATAACCTTTCCACAAACATCCATTTAGACGTATCTTTTTAAGATTTTGCATCCAATTGGCTGTCACTGATAGAAATTTTCTTATCTCTCTAAGAGACAACTCAAGGCTATGTTTACAAGTTAATTAAACCTTCCAATCGGGATGAAGATGGTTTTCACAATAAGTAAACATTTGACATCGAGAATGAGATCACGTGATATTCCAATCGATTCGATTTAGTGCCAGTGCATATTGCGCTGTCTATCCAAACACTTGACTGCAAGCATTCTCGAACTCGCGTTCACGTCGTTCCGGGTTACTAAGTAGGAAATCGAGTAGAAAAACTTACCGATTAGTTCGTTATAAACCGAATCGCGAAACTCAGCAAACCGTTGATCAGTTCCCAAATCGTGGTTTTGACATTCCACACTGGCTTTGTCCAAATTGATTTTGTCTTTGAGGAAATAAAAAGATGATTATCGTTTATAAGTCATGATTTTACCCACTAATTTTTAATTAGTGAAATTTTTTGTGAAGCATATTTTTATATGATCGTACATTGGTTATCATTATTGGGGTGAAAAGAATGACATCCCCTCCATATGCATTCCCTAACTCACCCACCGGTCTAAATATTCAAACCATATAAAATAATTTACGCGCTTGCTGACCCCTACACTAGGTAAAATGGAGCTTCTCGGTTTCCAGTACAAATGAACTTTGCTATATGAAGAATGGTCACAAGAAGCTTTTGGTAGCCGAAGCGGTCCTGATCAACGCTGAACCTACGGCAATCAATCGATCCGATGGGGCAGTCATTCTACAGTTATGACAACAATTAACACTTGTGCATGCAAAACTGTCTCATCCCCATCCTCAATGCCAAGTGACCAATTCACACGTTTTGACCTAAAGGTCAAACCAAGTTCACTCACCCCAACCACCTGTTGAACGAACATCAACACACACACACACACACACGCACAGGCGTGCTCGAATCACATCCAAGTTCTATACGATGTCATCATACCATCGCCCTATCATTGCTTGTAACGTGAAACTAACCGATTTACCAACTCAGAAAGGCCTTCCTACAGGGTCGAAACGTTGTCACCAACACCTCATGTTTTGGTTTTTTGTTCGTCGTGGCTAAGAGAAGCTAATTTTCTCAATAATCATAAGCACGACGCCAAAGGTTTTCAGTGAGATCTGTTCCATCCGTGAATCTCGTGTTATTAACATTATCAATCATTGGATTTATCTCATTAAACTCGAGGCGAGTTGGATTAACCGTCGTATTTTCAACCTTCGTGGCTTGGTAAACAATGTAACCTTACATTTCAAATGGAAATTCGTCTTGTTTCTAGAAAATGAAGCGTGAACTGAAAAGCTAGGAAGCACTGGATGGCTGTTTCGACCTGGTTGGGTCTCATCAGTAATGCGAATTCATCGACCCGACTGGGGATCGGACCCGGGACTTCATGGGCAGAACGTGAGCGTGCTACCCACTAAGCCACGTGGCAGCTGATCAGACCTTTTTTCATTTTCCATTTACACGATATAGCACAACCCATCATTGAAAGTTTGTTGCGGGCCATGGACCCTGCTCAACTCAGCACTGGTCTCCATGTTGTGAATGTTTCCAACCGAGTCATAACTAATGTAACCCTACATTGTCTACGTGTTCGATCACCGGATTCCTCTGATCGCTCGAAGCGCGCTGCTAGAGTTACCGAGCATACCTTCCTGCGTCAACGTATTCACGATTGTACAACACATCTGGATAGAGTTAGAAAAGGTGGCCGGCATGTGGATGATATATTGAAACAAATTTTGCAACCCCATGAACAGACTACTTTTCAAAGTATACTTGCGAGAAGATTCAGTCAGAGAATGAAAGAGGTGAAACAACGGCAGATGAGGAAGTTTGATATATTGACATCCGAGCACATCCAACCACCGCATCATTCCGTCATCCAGCAACCTCTAAATACGTCAATTGGGAAACTCGCTGATGAAGAAATAACGCTCTTGAACAAAGGACTGAATTTTAATATGGGCGTACCTACATTGAAGCCAATTGACATAATACCACCCTTAGAAGACAAGCTTGCAAAATTAGACGATAAACAAGCCAACGAAGTTTGAGTCCAAATTATGCAAGTGCTAAGAAATCAGAAACCACAGACAGAAAACTTGACACGGGGGGAACGAGTGGCTCTTCGTTATCTACGCAATGATCATTCAGTTGTAATCACAAAGTCGGACAAAAAACAACCAAGTTGTGATCATGCATTGGACAAACTTAGAGCAAAAGGCATTGGAACACAAGGGTAAATTAATTCTACATGTGATATTTCAGAACTAAGTATACATTCACACTAAATATCTGGTCTTATAACATCTGGTCCCTGCAGAAAAAAGGTTCTCTCCCCCACCTGGACACAGTGATTTCAGCGAGAGCTCACTCCATGCCAAAGCTTTGGATAATTTTAACAACCTAAGGAGAACAGAGAGTGCTATGAACTTCCCACGAGGAACGAAACAATGTGATGTGATGGCCTGCGACAACAAATATCCGACTGGAAAGAGCGCATCGTGACGACCCGACGCATAACAGTACGTATTTCAATACTTTTTTATTTCACTTCTGCAACCTTATCCGGGGTCATTGAGGATACAAGTGTGAAATCTGGTCATTTTCCGAGTAGAAATTCCAGCGCATTTGGTTGCTATTCTCCATTCAGCTGACGTCACTGTCCTCGTTTGAGTGAAGCGGAGGGTAAGTGACTGATGAGTCATGAATTAGCAAGCGTAAAGCTCACTCAAACAGAATCACGTTCGGGGCATGTTTAGACCCCGCAGATGTTCGCGGATGGTGATTTCGTTTCACCACAAAGCCGGTTGTGTTTTACTGGTTGCCGGTAAATGATGGAAAGGCCAATCACTGTGGTAAAGGATTCAGGTAGTAAACTTATATACATATTTTGCAATAAGTAGTATGTGAATGAGTGGACAAAATTTCCCTGGATGCAAACGACCGGTTTCGCATGCGCATCCGGTAATCTTTTGACAGTTCATTCATATACTTGTACATATATATTTATATTTATATATATAGCATATTTCATTCAAGAGGTTTGTGTCGCCTTCTTTTTGATCTAATGAAAAGAGTTCAAGGCCCCAAAATTCGAATTTGTCACATACCCTTAGCTCAATCGCCTCACCCGGACTACATGTTTGCTTTGCCACCATTTTTGCAGTATCTCTATCATCATCATTTTTGATATTACTTATCAGCACTTCATTTGTGCGAATTCTTTTGAATTTACTCCAAATGGTATTTTTATAGGCCTTACATTACTGATAGTGAGTCCAAACAATGCTAAAATATGTAGCAAAGGAATGAGTGGTTAGAATACACTCGAAGCACATCTTCTGTTTTGCAGTTCTTGCCGCTCATCAAGTGTGCACATCGGGTCAATTTGAAATTTATACTCGAGGTGTAAAGTAAGCGACAAAACTTCCATTCATATCTCAGTAATGTAATTCGAGACAAGCGAAACTTGCCGAACCATTGTAACGGTTTCATAGTGTTCTGAACTCCCTGATCGGGTATTAAACATTTCGAAATCACAGAGAATCACTGTTAGGTTGGTGAGGATTACGTCCACCCGAATGACAGAGGAATATCTCACAACCTTCATAATGATTGTTTGATTTTGGATTGTTTTGAACTAACTCCTTGAAATGCTAAAGGAACTTGCTCTGATTGATTTAATTAGCCTTCAATAATTGGTAGACTATTGCGAGTTTGACCTTATCGATTAGGTTTTCGTTTATCCTATATTTGTCATTTGGTTATACTCCTTTATTTTCCCATCCTTCCAGGTGCCCTTCGTGTGTCTGTTTTTCAATCCTCAGCTCGCATTAGGACAGCCAAAATGCCGTAAATCTGGCCTCATGCTGGACATCTTTGAAGTCGTAGAAAATACAAAAACCGAGTATACATTAAATGCTAGCTGGTAACTTTAAATCTCAGATTCAAAAATTGAAAGGGTTAAATGTGGAATGAGATGGATCTTGGTTTCGGAACTTTGGTTCCTGGCCCCCAGATTTGAGCTTTGATTATTGATTGACTAGCTTCACATTACCCTCCAGTAGTTATTTTTCGTCCAAAGTTGTGCTTTGTTCTTATCAGAAAGGACCTGATCAGATTTGTATGACAAGATCTGTATGGTTAAAATGGACGAGCACCTCGCATGGGGTGTGTGTGTGTGTGACAACGTTCGCTTAAACTGATTGGAGAATATATAGATGACTCCTCATCAACTCTTTATGATCTACGTCCCCGATGAAATGAATGTGAATTCGGTTGAAGCATTAATAGGGAACCTGACTCAGAGGCAATTTTTTCCATCTTTCATGAACTCGCAGATTTGGGAGCCACCAGATCGGCCAAGACCACAGCCTATTGGCCTATATTACTTTTGTAAAGTTTAAATGGAGCTAAACTGAACTGTATCGGGAGCGTAAAACAACTGTGTGAAAGGAAAGATTGGTGTGACTCCATTTATTCGGATTTCACAGTTTTTGTTTCACTTTTGATGATACACCTTGCCCAGAAGTGTTGAGGTTAGAAATGAATCGATATATTGGTGGAGTACGACAGGCGCTTGATTGTGAGATGTTCTCACAGTTGGGATGTAGTGAATCAATTTCAGGTTTCATGTGTCTTGTCTGCTAAATAAAGTACAATGTGAACGGAGGGAGAACAACGATAAGTTGTGGAGGTTTTTAAGTGCAGGCATAACCTATATCATCACTGTATTCGGTTGTCAGACCACAGCTCGGTAGAACTGTGCTTAGGGTAGACTCTCTCGTATGTTCTTGTGTCCATTAGCGGTTTTGTTCATCTTTCTCTTTCCCTCATGTAATTAATCTGCACTTTATTAGTACTAGTGAAAGATATTTCAATTAGTGAATAAAAATACTGCGAGTTCAACCAGGACAAAGTAAACTGTCCCCGGAAAACCTAGACTGCATGATCCATAATCTGCTTTGGGAAACTTCTCCCGCTCGAGAATCAGTGTTGGCCGTTGATGATGAAGACTACGGTATCCACTATGTGTGTACTTCCTCTAACTTCCTATTGAACACCGGGGTGGTTCATGGGACCAAGAGTACCAAAATATCTAGATGAATTAACTTATGTTTTAAAGGGGAACTTCGTCCTGTACATAGTAAATGAAACATAAAGTAAAAAGCTAGGAGGCAGTGTACAGCTGTTTGACCCGATTGGGTTATGCTATATTGTGTAAATAGAAGATGAAAAGCGGTCTGATCAGCTGTCCCCGTGGCCGAGTGGAAACCATGCTTGCCTTCTTCCTATGAGTTTTCGCGTTCGATCCATAGTTGGGTCGATGAATTCACGACTTGCACGGATGAGACCCAACCAGGTCGAAACAGTTGTCCAGCTGTGCTTCCTAGCTTTCTAGTTCACGCTTCACTTGTTATACACATAACGAATTTCCTCTTTGGAATTAAATCAAATCCTCCATTACTCACATGTAACTTATGTTTGTTGTGCGCATGTGTCACGGGTTGCTTGTCAGTTCTTGCTGACACGCTTTTATTTTGTTGTGCAGTCAGTACTGATGAAGTTTCACTGTACACGTGGTCTGATGGGCCAATTTTGTGAAAATGAGAAGGGAAGAGCGCTGGAAGTATGCCACGCAAAGTTTTATCTCCGCTAGATGAATATTCTGCTTATTCACATTCATTTCATGGGAACTATGACGGTTTATACCGGTCGCTTTAAGTCGTCCACATGATTTAGTAAGGCTATATGTACCGGATATAATCTCAGCTGACTTGACAATAATCTCGGGCTAAGCAGAAAGAATAATGTTGTTGTTATGTACTGTGTGAATACATGGGTATACACAAAGAGAAGAGATCATGTGTAAGTCAAGTCATTCACACACACACACACACACACACACACACACACACACCGCTCAATGCTTAGGCTCCATCAACAGTGTACCAATTACACATATCAAAGGGTTAGATAATCGGACTATGACAGACCTTACGAAGTAAAACAAAAGCACCCATTTGAAACTGGAAGTTCTATGTGCTTTGCTTCGCTATGGCAACAGTTGATCCGGGGTGCGGTAGATCGATAAGAGAGAGACTTGATAACAGGATTGTCTCTGTTTGACTTTCCCACGGTCACATATAAACAAACACATTTCCGTAAGCAGAAAACGAGAGAGAAGATAACAGATGGATCCCGACTGACCTTTTACTATTGTTGAAAATCAGTTGTGCTTCCCTGGCTGAGAATATTTGCTCCCGGGGGACTAAACCACCCAGATCTGAATAGAAAGAATTTCTCAGCAAATCTGTTCGCCTAGTTATGCCTCAAGCTCAAACCGGCCTGTTTGTGCATACGTGTGCATACACGAGCGTGCGACAGTCTGGTGCACTCTATTAAAACGTCCACATTTCCTGACGTGGTTTGTTGAGCAAGATAACCGGAAACGCTGTTTCACAACATCTCTTCCTACTCTTCACACACACACACTCACACGTAGGTGTGAAGGTACAAATCGGAAGTACAACTTTAACCCTCTGGTGGGTTTTTTTATAGATTCAGAAGCTGTTTCAACCCGTTCCAAAGGTTCACACAACCATTCGTTTAGAGTACTGCTCTTTGCCTGCTCAACCAGAGACAATACGTGTTAGGACTAAATTAGGAAGTATTAGGAGAA